GAGCAACACCTTGGGATGCGCCGGAAAATCCCCGCTCCCGAAAAACATCCGGGAGCCACCGCGAGTTTTTATTTATGTCCAGCTCCTGGGGCTGGAAAGCCCATCCTGGAAAGATGGGAAGGGCGATATTCCAACCGTGGCAAGGATGATATTCCAGCCGTGTCCTCTCTCCTGGCTTTGGGACCGCGGTTCTTCCTTCCCGGGGAAAAAAAAAACTCTTCCCTGGGGAAAAAAATCTGCTCTGTCTGGTGGATGGGCTGGAAAACAGATTGGAATCGGTGACTCATTCCCACTGGAGGCTGGTTTTTGGGAAGCAGGGCAGCCTGGTGTGTGTCCCCCCCCCTCCCACATCCATCAGGTGGCGGGAAAGCCCCCGGAGCCACTTCCGACCCCGCCGCGCTTCCAGGGGGTGGGAAAAGGAGTTTTCGGCCGGATTGGAGCTTTTCCCGCCTCTTTTCTTGCATCCCGATCCCGGGATGGACACGGGATGAGGATGGAGCTTTGCCCTGTCGGGATCCAGACCTTCCCTCCCGAAATTCCACATCTCTTCTCAAATCACTATCCCTTCCCAAATCCTACATTTCTTCCCAAATCTTCCATCCCTTCCCAAACCCCCCATACCTTCCCAAATCCCCCATCCCTTCCCAAGCCACCATCCCTTCCTAAATCCCCCATCCCTTCCCAAATCCCCATCCCTTCCCAAATCCCCCATCCTTTCCCAAATCCCCATCCCTTCCCAAATCCACCATCCTTTCCCAAATCACCATCCCTTCCCAAATCATCCAACCCTTCCCAAATCCCCCATCCCTTCCCAAATCCCCCATCCCTTCCCAAATCCCCCATCCCTTCCCAAATCCCAAATCCTTTCCCAAACCACCTATCCTTTTCCAAACACCCATCCTTTCCCAAATCCCCCATCCCTTCCCAAATCCCCCAAATCCCTTCCCAAACCCCAAATCCCTTCCCAAATCCCCCATGACTTCCCAAATCCCCATCCCTTCCGAAATCAACCATCCCTTCCCAAATTCCCAATCCCTTCCCAAATCCTCCATCCCTTCTAAAATCCCCCATCCCTTCCCAAACCCCAAATCCCTTCCCAAATCCTCCATCCCTTCCCAACCCCCCCATCCCTTCCCAAATCCCCCACCCCTTCCCAAATCCCCCACCCCTTCCCAAATCCCCCATCCTTTCCCAAATCCCCCAACCCTTCCCAAATCCCCAGCCCTTCCCAAACCACTCATCCCTTCCCAAATCAACCATCCCTTCCCAAATCAACCATCCCTTCCCAAATCCCCATCCCTTCCCAAATCATCCATCCCTTCCCAAACCACCAAAACAACCCTTTATTGCCAGGATGGAGATGATTCAGCTGCCTCTTCCCGGGCCTTCCTCCCAATCCCACAGGTTTTAGGGACACGGAAACCTCCAGCAGCTCAACCGCGCTTCCGAAAGACAGCGGGAAATTTGTATTTTAGTTGGGAAACGTGGCCAGGCAGGAACAAAATCTGGGATGGTCCCAAATCCCCACGCTGCAGGACCCGGGCGGGCTGGGTACCCTCCGGGTATCCGCCAAAATTATCCAAAAATTGAATTTATTTAACTTTTTTTTCATGACTGGGGCTAAACCAGAGCTGGGAAGGAAAAGCAGGGAAGAGGTCGCATTTCCTTGCCTTGGATATTTATCCCACCGCCGGGACAAAGGGACAGAGGGACGGACAGAAACTCGCACGGCGGGGGGGTCAGTCACAGACCACCGCGTTTCAATGAATCTTGCCCTCAGCGAGCTGCCGTCGCCCGCCGCAGGGCCTGCTGGGACTTGTAGTCCTCAGCTTAAGCGCCACCGCCGCGCACGCGCAGCGCTCCCTTCCCCGTCTCACATCGGGCTCCGCCGAAGCCGGCGGGAGGGGGAGAGGCGCGTGCGCTGATTGGTCGGGACGCGGGCGGTGGGCGGAGAAGAGGAGGCGAGGCGGGGGGCTGATTGGCTGGGAGGCGAGCGGGGGGCGGGGCCCGAGGCCGCGGCGGGAAATGCGGCGGCGGGTCCGGCGCGAGCGCGGCCGGTGAAGGGGCGGGGCGGGCAACGGCTGAGGGGGGACCGAGACCGGGCTGAGGGGAACGGGGGAAACCGAGACCCGGCTGAGGGGAACGCGGCTGGGGAATGGCGGGGCTGGGGCTGGCGGCACCGGGAAAAGGGGCTGGTGGAGGTCGGGAGGGAGTTGGGAACGTGGGAGATGAGGAAAGGGGGCTGAGGTGGGGAAGGGAAGGGGGGCGGAGGTGGGGAAGGAGCCTCAGGGAAGGGGTGGGAGTGAGGGGATGGCGGTGGGAAAAGGGGTCTGAGGTGGGGAAGAAAGGGGTCTGAGGTGGGGAAGAAAGGGGTCTGAGGTGGGAAAAGGGGTCTGAGGTGGGGAAAAAAGGGGTCTGAGGTGGCCGAGGGGTCTCATTTGGGATGGAGGGAGGAGCTGGGGCTGAGGGGCTGCTCCAGGTGGGAAAAGGGACTCTGGGGAATGGGGAAAAGGGGCTGAGGTGGGGAAGGAAAAAAGGGAAGGGTCAGAGGTGGAAAAGGAGTGGGGAAGGAGGCTGGGGTGGGGAAGGGAAGGGGATTTAGGTGGGATACTGGGAATGGCTGGGGCTGAGGGGCTGCTGGAGGAGGGGAAGGGGCGGTTGTCTCTTGAGGGAGGGGGTGTGGGAGGAAGGTGGGGTTTGGAAGGGGGAGCTGAGGGCTGGACGGTCGGGAATAGGGCGGGAGAGGGTTGGGAGGGCTGGGGGGAAAAGAGGGAAGATGTGGGAAAGGAGCACAGCTGGAGGGATGGAGGTGGATTTGGGGAGGGAATGGCTTTGAAAGGAGCAGCAGGTGGGGTAGGGGGGGAGGGTTAAGGGACTGGGAAAGGGATAAACGGGGCAGGAAAGCAGAAAATACCGTGTTTTTAGGGATGAATTTGGGATGGTGCTGAGCGCTGGCACAGGGAGGAGGGAAATGAGGGGCTCAGAGGGGAGCAGGGACAAAGAGGGACTTGGGAAGCTGTGCTGGGCAGGAAAGTGAGGAATGACATGGAATGGGGGGTCTGGGAGAGGGATGAGGGCGAGGAACAGGGCACGGACCGGCAGGAAATTGGGAATGGAAGCGCAGGGACACGGTGCAGCCGTGGACGGGGGAGGAAAACTTCCAAAAGGGGGGAAAGATTGAGTGCCAGAGCGGCTCTCGTGGGGAACTCGATTGATCTCCAAGTCGATCCCGGTCGAAGCTTCCCGGGGAGCTGCTGCTTTCCCTTCCCTCCTTCCCTTCCTTCGCCCCCCGCAGGGAACGTGGCTCCAAAGCTCCTTCCCTTCCTTACCCGGCTCCGTCCCCCCCGCCGGGCAGATCGATGGCGCTTCCCGGGGCTTTGGATCCCGCTGTGCAGCCGGGATTGTGCTGGATAATGGCTCCGAGTTACCATGGATATGGGCTCTCCCTTAAGTGCCTGCTTTGGATGTCGCTCCTCGTGTGGCTGCATCTTATCCCGCTAAAACTGATGCTGCTTGGAAGCTTTTCCTTGGGAAACCGCATCATATCCCACTAAAATTGATGCTGCTTGGAAGCTTTTCCTTGGGAAGCTGCATCTTATCCCACTAAAACTGATGCTGCTTGGAAGCTTTTCCTTGGGAGTCTTTTGGGAGGGTTCACCTTTCTTTGGGAGAGTTTTAAGCTTCTTATCCCCTTCTCTTCCGTGTTTTTCCAGCAGGTAACAGCCCCGTGGATCGTCCTGGAATTCTGGGAGGCGAGAGAGTTCCCGCTGGTGCGCGTTCCCGATTGCCAGATGGGATACTGGGAAGGAGCTGTGGGGAGAGTCTGGTCTGGAATTCCCAGAGAAGCTGTGGCTGCCCCTGGATCCCTGGGAGTGTCCAAGACTGGGTTGGAGCCACCTGGGATAGCGGGAGGTATCTCTGTCCATGGCAGGGGGTGGGATTTAAGGGCCCTTCCCACCCAAATCATTCCAAGATTCCGTGATAAAGGACACTCAGAATCCACTCAGAGGGATTTTTATGGAATGTGGGGATGGAAAAGGTGGGAAAGGGGAAGGGAGACCCTGCCCTGATTCCCAGGGAACCCCCTTGTTCCCTGAACTCCTTCCCAGGGAGGAGCTGGGCTGGGGATGGATCCAATGGCAGGCTCTGGCTCCAGGCTGGAGAGCTGGGAATGGCCAGGCTGGAGAAGGGAAGGATCCTGGGAGAGCTTGGAGCACATTCCAGAGGCTGAAGGGGCTCCAGGAGAGCTGGAGAGGGCCTGGGGATCAGGGCCTGGAATGACAGGCCCCAGGGAATGGATCCCAGTGGGAAAGGGGAGATTTGGGGGGGAGATTGGGAAGGGATTCCTGGCTGGGAGGGTGAGGAGGGGCTGGGCTGGAATTCCCAGAGAAGCTGTGGCTGCCTCTGGATCCCTGGCAGTGTCCAAGGCCGGGCACCTTGGCCCCCTTTTCCCGAGCAGGACCAGGAGGAGAATCCAGGGATCCAGAGGGATGTGAGCCCTTCCCTGCTGGGAGAGAGAGGGATCAAACCCTCCCCAAAGCCCAGCCCTGCTGTTGGATGAAGGGGAGGGAGGTGGGAACAGCCAGGAAAGATCCTCCATGGGCAGAATCCCGCTGGGATGAGAGAGAGAGACATTGCAGCATCCCCATCCTGATCCAATTGGAAAGAGCTCCGAGAGTCCCTTCCAACCTCTGTTATTCCAGGAAACTCAGCTTAAGTTTTAATCCCAGCTCTTACCCAGCAAAGGTCTCAGCTCCCAGTCCTCGTGGTCTCCCGGGAAAAGGATCAAACTTGGGAATTCTTGGGATGGACAGAAGGAGGGGAAAAAAAAAAAACCGGCACAAACAACAGAGCCCAGGGAAAGAATTTTATTGGGATTGCAGGAAAAAAAACCCCACGGGATTTTAATGGCAGGAAAAGCCCCTCCAACAGCATCCCAGACTCCTGGAACATTCCTGACCTCTCCGGGGGGGAAAACGAGCTGCCCCGCCCCCAATCCACGGAATCAGGGAATATCCGGAGCTGGAAGGGACCCACCAGGATTTCCAAGTCCAATCTCATTCCTATTGCTGGAAGCAAATCCTTGGCATTGGCAGCTTTGGTGTTTGGCTCGGGGCTGATTCCCGGGATAGGCGTCGTCTCCCGCTCCTCCTCCCGGATCCGCCGGAGCGTCATTCCAACCTTTTCACCATGTAGGGCCCTTCCAGCTCGTAGCCGATCTTCCTGTAGTAATTCCTCGTGCCGACACCTGGAGAAGAGAGGGACAACACGGATGAATCCCGTGGGATGGCAAAAGGACCGGAGGAGCTGGAGCTTCCAGGTGGGAATGGCGCTGGAAGGTGCAGCCGGCGGGAGCCGGAGCGGGGGCGGACTAATTAGGGCGCTAATTGGGGTGATTTTCCGACAGGAACAGCCGCTCCTTTGTCTGGAGAAGGAGAGGGAACGCTTGGATCCAGGATCCAACAAAACCCCTGGCACAGCTGTGGGATCGTTGCCGGGAGCTGAAGGGCCCGACAGCCCCCGGAGCCACTTCCAAGCGCTCCTGGGAAAGTGGGATCCAATTTCCTCATCCCGCTCTCCTGAGGACTCTTCCCTCTCCTGCTGCCGCCGGGAGATCCCGTGGAGGGCACAGGATCCCGCAGTTCCCGGGATTCTGGGGTATGACAGCAGGATTTGGGGTAAAACAGTAGGATTTGGGGATAAAACTGGAATTTGGGGCAAAACAGCAGGATTTTAGGGTAAAGCAGCAGGATTTTGGGGGTAAAGCAGCAGGATTTTGGGGTAAAACACCAGGATTTTAGGGTAAAGCAGCAGGATTTTGGGGTAAAAATGGGATTTTAGGGTAAACCAGCAGGATTTGGGGTAAAACTGAGATATGGGGCAAAAGAGCTGGATTTTGGAGTAAAGCAGCAGGATTTGGGATAAAACTGGAATTTGGGGCAAAACAGTAGGATTTTAGGGTAAAACACCAGGATTTTGGGGTAAAGCAGCAGGATTTTGGGGTAAAGCAGCAGGATTTTGGGGTAAAAATGGGATTTTAGGGTAAAACACCAGAATTTTAGGGTAAAGCAGTAGGATTTTAGGGTAAACAAGCAGGATTTGGGGTAAAAGTGGGATTTTGGGCAAAAGAGTAAGATTTTGAAGTAAAGCAGCAGGATCTGGGGTAAAACTGGGATTTTAGGGCAAACCAGCAGGATTTTGGGGCAGAGCAGCAAGATTTTGGGGTGAAACTGGGATTTCAGGGTAAAACACCAGGCTTTTGGGGTAAAAATGAGATTTTAGGGTAAAGCAGCAGGATGTTGGAGTGAAGCAGCAGGATTTGGGGTAAAACTGGGATTTTAGGTCCCTTCCAACCCAACCCATCCCATGGTTCCTTTCTCATTCCAAGGAAGCGGAAGACGACAAGAACTCTTTCCTGATAATTAATTATTAAGAATTAATAATTCTTGAGGACTGACGAGCAGGTTTCAAGCAGAGAAAGGAGAGGAGCTCTGATCCCACCTGCCTGGATGGGAATCCATGGGAAAGCCTTTTGGGATCGTCCCTCATCACAACGGTCTGGCCCAGAGGGGGCCATGGCAGAATCCAGCCCAGGAATTCCCCTCCTGACTGACCTGGCTTTTCACTGGAATATTTACACCTCAACATTAATTAAATAAGGATTTTAAGCCTGGCTTAAGCAGGGGAGAGAGGGAAGGGGCCACAGGACAGGCTTAAAAAGAGTTCTGGCCCAGAGGGGCCCCATAAATCCCTTTCCCGCCTCAGCCCTGCCGCATCCCGAGTATCCCGCAGGATTCCTTCCCAGCTCAGTAGGCTCAGGACTAAGTGAAAACGAGGCTGTTTTCAGGATCATTAAAGCCATAAATTCCCACGGCACAGGCAGGGAACTGTTGGGCTGAGCCAACAGCAGGGACTCGACTCCACACAGGCAGCTCCGGAATCTTCTCCGGAGACGCGCAGTTGTGCCTCCCAGATTCCTTCCCCCTCCAGATATTCCAGGGCTGCTCCCGACTGTTCCGAGCTCAAAATATTCCAGGGCTGCTCTCGAGTGTCCTGAGCTCCAAATATCCCAGGGCTAATCTGCTCCCGAGCTTTCCAAAATCCAAATATTCCAGGGCCAATCTGCTCCTGATTGTTCTGAGCTCCAAATATTCCAGGGATGCTCCCGAGTGTTCTGAGATCCAAATATTCCAGGGCTGCTCCCGACTGTTCTGAGCTTTCCAAATATTCCAGGGCTTCTCCTGAGTGTTCTGAGCTCCAAATATTCCAGGGTTGCTCCCCACTGTTCTGAACTCCAAATATTCCAGGGCTGCTCCCGACTGTTCTGAGCTCCAAATATTCCAGGGTTGATCTGCTCCTGAGTTTTCCAAACTCCAAATATTCCAGGGCTGCTCCCGACTGTTCTGAGCTCCAAATATTCCAGGGCTGCTCCTGAGTGAACTCCAGATATTCTAGGACTGCTCCTGAGTGTTCTGAGCTCCAAATATTCCAGGGATGCTCCTGAGTTTTCTGAGCTCCAAATATTCCAGGGCTGATCTGCTCCCAACTGTTTTGAGCTCCACATATTCCAGGGATGCTCCTGAGTGTTCTGAGCTCCAAATATTCCAGGGCTGCTCCCGACTGTTCTGAGCTCCAAATGTTCCAGGGCTGCTCCCGAGTTTTCAAAACTCCAAATATTCCAGGGCCGATCTGCTCCCGAATTTTCCAAACTCCAGATATTCCAGGGCTGATCTGCTCCCGAGTGTTCTGAGCTCCAAATATTCCAGGAGTGTTCCGAACTTGCCTCAGTTCACGTGCCAGCTGCAGTTTTGGCCACAGCAAAGCCTCTTCCAGGGTTTGTTTTTTTTTTGGGAGTAAACACCTGGATCAGTGGGAAAAGGAGCCCTGGATAATCTGTGGGATCCCTGGTGAGTGGGGATTGTCCTTCAAGGATGCTCCATCCCTGGAAGTGTCCAAGGGCAGTTTGGATTCCCTTGGAGCAACCTGGGATAGCGGAAGGTGTCGGGGTTGGAACTGGATGATCCTTAAGGTCTCTTCCCATTCCATGACACTGGAGAACATTCCCAAAACCTAATTCTAATTTCCAGAGGATTTTCACCTCCCGGGATCTTCAGGGACTCGTTGCCAATTCCCGAATGGAAAAATAAACCCCTTTGCTGCCGGGATCTCTGTGGGGTTCTTCAATTAAGAAATTAAATTAAATTAAATTAAATTAAGAACCTTCTCCTGATTGCTCTGATGTTCCCAGGTGGGAAAAAAGGCCACTTTTCCCGTTTCCTCGATGCTGGGTTATCCCAGACCCTCTGCCTTCTCCCCGTCGTTCCATTTCCCGGCGGCTGGTTGGGATTCCCAGGAAACAGCCTCGTGTTTCCCTTCTCTGGGCAACCCCGGCGGAAAACGGGAATAAAATTCCGTTTTTCTTTAAAAGGTTGGGAATGTTTTTGCTTCTTGAGAAGCGGAGCACCGGAGAGGATTTGGGATACTTGGAAATCACCAGGGTGGGATCGAAGGGGAGTTTTGAGCTCCACACCTTCAGCTCTCTGCTGGAAAACCCTGGATTGGGGATTGGAGGAGTTCTGGATCATCCCTGGAATCGCCCTCCAGCCTCCTGAGCAATCCCGGCTCCGTTTAAATCCCCCCTGGATTGGATGGGAAGGCCAAGAGAGGCAGAGCCTTCGGGATGGGGCTGATCCGCCAACTTGGGAAAGGAAAACGAGGAAACCACACCAAATAAACGGGATTAAAACAAGGAAATCACTCCACAGAAACGGGAATAAAACAAGGAAACCACTCCACATAAACAGGAATAAAACAAGGAACCACAGCAAATAAACAGGAATAAAACAAGGAAATCACTCCACAGAAACAGGAATAAAACAAGGAAACCACTCCACAGAAACAGGAATAAAACAAGGAAATGACACTACATAAAAAGGAATAAAACAAGGAAACCACCCCACAAATACAGGAGTAAAACAAGGAAATCACTCTACAGAAACAGGAATTAAAGTGAAGGAACCACACCAAATAAACAGGAATAAAACAAGGAAACTATTCCACAAAAACAGGAATAAAAGTGAAGGAACCACAACAGATAAACAGGAATAAAACAAGGAAACTATTCCACAAAAACAGGAATAAAAGTGAAGGAACCACAACACAAAAACAGGAATAAAACAAGGAAACCACTCCACATAAACAGGAATAAAACAAGGGAACCACACCAAATAAACAGGAATAAAACAAGGAAACCACTTCACAGAAACAGGAATAAAACAAGGAAACCACTCCACAAATACAGGAATAAAAGTGAAGAAACCACACCAGATAAACAGGAATAAAACAAGGAAACCATTCCACAGAAACGGGAATAAAACAAGGAAACCACTCCACATAAACAGGAATAAAAGTGAAGGAACCACAGCAAATAAACAGGAATAAAACAAGAAACCACACCAAATAAACAGGAATAAAACAGGGAAACCACACCAAATAAAACAGGAATAAAACAAGGAAATCACTTCACATAAACAGGAATAAAAGTGAAGGAACCACTCCACATAAACAGGAATAAACCAAGGAAACCACCCCACAAATACAGGAATTAAAGTGGAGGAACCACTCCACATAAACAAGGCTCTGAAACGGTGGGGGATCCGTGTTTTTTGGCCGGGCCACGTTTCAGTTCTCTCCAAGAACCTGAACAGGAAATAATTTCAAATAATTACAAATTAACGTTTCCTTTCGGTGAGGTCGTTCTGGGTAAGGTTTAAACCCGGCGCCAGCAGAGGGAAAACCGCCCGCCAACGCCTCGGGATGAATCCGGAGCTGATGGATCTCCGGCTCCAGACCGACAACATTAAATATTTAGGAGCGAACGGCGCAATTCCCGGGAGATTTTAACGGGGACAGTGACATGTGGATGTTCCTCAAGCCCGGATTTGTCAGGCTGGGTGTGGGGTTTAGGCTTTGTCACGTCTTGAGGCGTCTTCCTGAGACAGTCGTGGGAATATCCAACCGGCGGGGTCGGTATCCCCGGGACACGGGGGATTTGGGATGAGTCACGGAGCGGGTGAGACATCCACGATCCCGTTCCTTCCCTGGGGGCTCCGGGATTTCAAACACTGCTCCCATGGGATACTCCTGGAAAAGGCTTGAAGAGGCACTTTGTGCTGGGTTAGGAACTGGCTGAGGGCCGGGCCCGGAGAGTGGTGGGAATGGAGCTGAATCCATTTGGGATCCGGGCACCAGTGGTGTCCCCAGGGATAAGTGCTGGGCCCGGAGAGTGGTGGGAATGGAGCTACATCCCGTTGGGATCCGGGCGCCAGTGGTGTCCCCAGGGATCAGTGCTGGGCCCAGCCCTGTTCCATGTCTTTCCTGATGACCTGGATGAGGGGATGGAGTCCCACCATCAGCAGATGTGCAGGTGACACCGAGCTGGGGGAGTGTGGATCTGCTGGAAGGCAGGAGGGCTCTGCAGAGGGACCTGCCCAGGCTGGATCCATGGGCTGATTCCAGCGGGATGAGGTTCCACAAGGCCAAGGGCCGGGTCCTGCCCTTTGGCCACAACAACCCCCGGCTGGGCCAGAGGGGCTGGAGAGCAGCCAGGCAGGAAGGGAGCTGGGAGTTGGGATGGACGGGAAGCTGAACAGGAGCCAGAGTGTGCCCAGGGGGCCAAGAGGGCCGATGGATCCTGGCCTGGATCGGGATCAGGGTGGCAGCAGGAGCAGGGAAGGGATTGTGGCCCTGTGAGGCCACCCCTGGAGTGCTGTGTCCAGCTCTGGGCCCTCAGCTCAGGAAGGACATGGAGGGGCTGGAGTAGGGCCAGGGAAGGGCAACGAGGCTGGGAAGGGACTGGAGCACAATTCCCATGAGGAGAGGCTGAGGGAGCTGGGGGGGCTCAGCCTGGAGAGGAGGAGGCTCAGGGGAGACCTCATCCCTCTGCACAACTCCCTGCCAGGAGGGGGGAGCCGGGTGGGATCGGACTCTGCTCCCAGGAACCAGCAGTAGGACAAGAGGGCTCGGCCTCCAGCTGTGCCAGGGGAGGGTTAGGTTGGATATCAGGAAGGAATTCTTTCCATGGAGAGTGATCAGCCCTTGGAATGGGCTGCCCAGGGAGGGGGTGGAGTCACTTCCCTGGAGGTGCTTAAGGACAGACTGGATGTGGCATCAGTGCCATGGGTTTCGAACCACAGTGGGGTTGGATTGTGGGTTGGGCTCCATGATCTCGGAGCTCTTTTCCAACCCCACTGATTCTGGGATTCTGGGATTCCATGAAGGAACGCTCAGCAACCCTGAGGGACCTCATCTGCTTCATCAGAAAACCACAGGATGGTCTGGGCTGGAAAGGACCTTCCAAGGTCATCCAATCCATGGGCAGGGACATCTCCCACTATCCCAGGTCACTCCATCCAACCTGGCCTTGGACACTCCCAGGGATGGGGCAGCCACAGCTCCTCTGGGAAACCTTTTCCAGGTGTTTCGCCGCCCCCTCTGCGCAAACACAGCGCGCAGCTCCAGGAATTTGTGTTATCCGTCACCTGAAGGTTGTGCTTTATAACGCAGATTTTTAATAAAAAGCATCAATCCCTCAAAAAAAAAAATAAATAATGCCGGTGGTGGTTAAAAAAAGAGTGGGAATGACCAGGCAGGGAAAACAATCCTTTACAATCTCTTTTTGGTTTTCCACGTGTTTGCTTTGCTGTCCCTCTTGCTGAGAGGGCTCCTCCTCTTCACTCCCCAGCCCTGGAAGTGCCCAAGGCTGGGTTGGAGCAACCTGGGATAATGGAAAGTGTCCCTGCCCCTGGAACTGGATGGGCTTTAAGGTCCCTTCCAACCCAAACCACGCTGGGATTTTGGCGATTCCCTAAATTTGTGGTAGAAATGGAGGTGGTCACTCCAACATCAACCGCAGGAGGAGCCGGCCCCGGTGTGGCAAGGGATGAATCCGTGCAGTGAATACAAATTAACTAATTAATCCCGGCTCCCCTCCTGCTTCCAGGTGGTTCATACAAGTCCATCCCAGCTCCCTCTCGCTCCCGAGTTTTCCTGGCTCTGCAGGGGAGGGTTCTGAGCAGAGCAGGTGAGGAGAAGTGGGGCCACCTCCCTCCAGCTCTCCGGCGGCTCCCGGACTCCGGTGATCCCAGCGAGGCTCGGCACCACCTGCTCCTCCAGCGGCACATGGACAAATCCAGCCCGCCTTCCCTGCTCCTGCTCCTGCTCCAGCCCGGCTCGCTCGGCCGTGGAACATCCCTGGCCCGCGGCCACGTTAATTTTCTCCTTGACAGCACACGAGGTGCAGCCCGGGCAGGGGCGGGGGTTGGGATCGTCTCCCGCATGGAAATGAGCTCCTGGCAGCGCCCAGATCCAGGGATCTGCCTGCGGGGAGGCGCCGAAACCCCGGCCCTTGCTCCCGGACGCCTCGCCAAGCCTCGGGAGCGAAGCAGCTCCCGGTATTCCCGAGGGGAAGGGAAGGGTGTCAATGTGCTTGCGGTTCGAGCGCCCGGGAGGGGAGAATTCAATCTCATCCCTCAACCCCCCTCCCCCCGCTTCCCGAACAAGCACCTTCTGCAGGGAGATAAGGGGACAATCCTGCCGGAACAAGCCAAAATCCTGCTTTCCCGGCGCCAGCACGGGCAGATAACGCGGACAGACGTCACAGCAGCTCCCGCAGCCCCCAGAGCTCCGAGGTTTTTTTATTTGCGGAGCCGCCTTTTAGCGGCGGAAAAGGAATTCGCAGCCCCGTGCCGGTCCCTGTGCCCTTGGAGCAGCCCCAGCATCCCGGGCTTTGGGGCAGGGAATGAAGGAGCAGCAGGTGAGGCCAGGGCACGCAGCGGGATAAAATCACAGGAGCACAGGATGGTTTGGGTCGGAGGGGACCTTAAAGATCATCTCGCTCCAACCCTCTGTGGAGAACAGGGCAGTGCCCGGTGCTGTCCCCCTCCTTCTGGCAGCTCATTTAGGCTGGGATGGGGCCGCTGGATAGTTGGATACCTGGAATTCCTCTGCTGGGAATGAAGGGAACGCTCGGCAGCAGCCCCATGGAATCACAAGATGGGATTTGGGTTGGAAGGAACCTCAAAGGTCATTTAATTCCAAGCCCTGCCATGGGCAGGGACACTTTCCACTGTCCCAGGTTGCTCTGAGCTCCGTCCAGCCTGGCCTTGGACACTTCCAGGGATCCAGGGGCAGCCACAGCTTCTCTGGG